CTCAGAGGCGGGAGGGAAACTCGCACCCTGGTCTTTTTGGTTCCGGCCCATCCAGAGTTCCGCAGACGGCCACCCACGGAGTCCACCCACCTGGGCTGCTGGGGGAGGACGAACGGATTCGGACACAGGACTAGATCTCTTCAGAACTGGTGAGTGCCCCGGGGACCAGGAGCCCAAGATCAGGCCCACCCTACGGGTAGAAGGAGAGATTGATCACCTCTCTTGGCCCCTTTGGCCACAAGTAGGGACATCCTCTCGGGCGGAAATCCCTAAACTCGGTTGACTGGAGCGTGAGTGTGAGTGAGTGAATGTCTGTATGGCTCCACAGGCGCTCGCCTATGGAGTCTGAGTGAGCCCCAACCTGTGGTTCCGTGGTGCACCTCATATGGCTCAGGGCAGCGTCAGACTCTGGGGGACCCCATCCCTCCCTGCAAGTCTGATCCGGGTCAGGCATTTATACTGACCTGCCAAAGCTAAGAGGCACCTAAACCTCTGCAAGGGGAGCGGCCAGGCAGGTGAACTGAATGCCCCCTCCCTTGTTTGTCTGCGCCAACGTGGGAAGGAAAGACCATGGGGGGCACCTCATCAACGGTATTAAATTGCATGCTTAAGAACTTTGACCTGTTCAGGGGACAGGACCCCTCACTGACCCCGGATCAGCTTGACACTTTCTGCTCTGTCAAGTGGCCGTCATTCAGGGTAGGCTGGCCCCCTGAGGGAACTCTTAATCTGGGAATTACCCAGGCAGTACACCTAGTAGTTACAGGAAAGCCAGGACATCCCAACCAGTACATTTACATAGACAGGTGGCAGGAACTAGCCCGGGAGCTACAGAGTTGGCTTCACCAGTACCAGAAACAGACACCCCGAACCGTCGGGGTTGCCGGGCTAAGAAGAAAGCTTCCCAAGTACTAGTGGCCTACCCTAGGGAAGGTTGGCGCCCACCAATCTACAAAAGCGATCCAGAGGAAGAGCCCCCATTTAGCACACCCCTGCCTTATGCCCCAGAGCCAAGAACCCCGGAACCGAATGCTCTGGAACCAAAGGCCCCGGAGTTTTACTACCACTGATCTCCTCAACTGGAAACATCACACTCCCTCGTACTCTGAAAAACTGCAGGCCTTAATTGACCTTATGGAGTCGATCATGCAAACTCACCGGCCCACATGGTATGACTGCCGTCAGCTACTCCTCACCCTATTCAATACAGAGGAGCGCCGGCGCATACTCCAGGGAGCCCTCCAATACCTAGAAACCATGGCACCAGTGGGGACACTAGACCGGGCGCAGTGGGCCAGAATGGCTGCGCCTGAAGTCCAGCCAGAATGGGACCACCACACCGAAGAGGGCAGGGCGGCGCTACAGAGGTATCGAGAAGCCCTCCTCCGTGGGGTCCGAGCAGGAGCCAGAAGGCCCACCAACATGTCTAAAGTCGCCAACGTAACCCAACGACCAGATGAACGCCTGGGAGATTTCTACAAGCAACTGTGTGAGGCATACCGAATTTACATGGCATTTGACCCAAGGGGCCAGACAACCAAAGGATGGTAAATACGGCATTTGTCTCCCAGTCCTCCTTGGATATCAGGAAGAAGCTTCAGAAGCTCGAAGGTTTCGCAGGAATGAACATCAGTCAGCTCATAGAAATCGCCAATAAGGTCTACAACAACCGGGAGGAAGCGGCTGAAAGGGAGGCCAGAAAGAGAATGGAGAAGAAAGCAGCCCTCCTGGCGGCAGCCCTAGGACGACCCGCACCGCCTCCAAGAGGACCCCTGACTAAAGAAAAGGTTGGGCACCGCCGGGTAGAAGCTGACCAGTGTACATATTGCAAGGAGAGGGGCCACTGGAAGAGGGAGTGCCCCAACAGGAAGAAGAGGCAGATCCAGGGCGCCCCTCAGCCTGAGACTCCCGCCCCAACTGTCCTCAGCCTGGCAGGCATGGACTCAGACTAGGACAGACCGGGCTCCCTGAATCTTGGCCCCCACGAGCCCATGGTCAAGTTAACTGTGGGGGGCCAAACTCTCCCTTTCATGGTAGACACAGGAGCTGAACACTCTGTGGTAACCACTGCCATAGCCCCCCCCTTCGGGGTGTGAGATCTCTATCAAGTGGCCCGAAGGGGTTGTGCCAAGCCCGAACAGTAGAATTAGGGGGCCATCAAGTAAGGCATGAATTCCTGTACCTCCCAGAATGCCCAGTCCCACTCCTAGGACGGGACCTGATGGCCAAACTAGGGGCCCAGATCTCCTTCCAGCCATCGGGGGAAGCCCACTTACAGGTCGGGGCACCATCTGTGGTGGCAGTCCTCATTCCCAGGGGAGAGGAGTACCGCCTCTACGAGAAACTAGAAGGAAGCACAAGAGGCCCAGACGCAGACGAAAGAATTGCCAACCTCCGCGTGCAGTATCCCCAAGTGTGGGCTGAAGATAACCCACCAGGACTGGCCAGAAACCACGCCCCCCTCATCATAAATATGAAGCCTGGAGCAGGACCAAAGCAGATCCGCCAGTACGCCATCCCATGGCAAGCACGGCTTGGCATAGCGGAAGTTATCCAAAAGCACCTGAAGGAGGGGATACTCGTTCCTTGCCAGTCCCCATGGAACACCCCACTACTCCCGGTAAAGAAGCCAGATGGGACAGGATATAGGCCAGTCCAGGACTTAAGGGCTGTAAACGAGGCAATGGTCACCCTGCATCCAGTAGTTCTGAAACCATACACTCTGCTCAGCCAACTCCCTCCAGAGGTTGCCTGGTTTACCTGCCTAGACCTGAAGGATGCCTTCTTCTGCCGCCAACTGGCTAAGGAGTCAGCCCCTCCTACCCTTTGAATGGGAGGACCCGCACTCAATGGCCAAAACACAGTTAACCTGGACTAGGCTTCCCCAGGGGTTTAAGAACTCCCCTACTCTTTTTGGGGAAGCTCTAGGACGAGATTTAAGGCCGTTCATGGACAGTGAAGCTGACCTGACCCTAATACTACAGTATGTAGATGACCTCTTACTGGAAGTGGCTACCCAGGACCAATGTTGGGAAGGGACCTGCCGATCACTAGAACTTTTAACCCAGGCGGGATATTGAGTCTCGTGGAGAAAAGCCCAAATCTGCCAGCCCAGGGTAAAATACTTGGGGTTCCTAATCTCCCAAGGAAAGCGAGTCTTAAGCCAGGAGAGGAAGCAGGTGATCCAGGCCCTGCCCGTCCCTACAACCAGAAGGAAGATACGTGAGTTCCTAGGAGCAGCTGGGTTCTGCTGCATCTGAATACCCGGGTATGCCGCCCTCGCAAAACCACTATACTGAAGGGTCCGGACACGGCCCCCTTCCTATGGGAGGCAGAAAAAGAAGATGCCTTCCAGATCATCAAAAACCGCCTTGGTCAAGCCCCTGCTTTAGGCCTGCCAGACCCGAGTCGCCCTTTCGAACTATATACACATGAAAAGGAAAAGACAGCCCTAGGGGTCTAGACGCAGAAAGTAGGACCATGGTGGAGGTCAGTCGCCTATCTGTCCAAGCAGCTGGACTATGCTGCTGCTGGATGGCCCTCGTGCTTACGGGCGATAGCCACTACAGTTGTACTCCTACAAGAAGCAGACAAGTTAACCTTGGGACAGGAAATCAACCTGTTTGTCCTGCATGCTGTATCTAACCCTTTAGCGGGACAAGGTCACAAATGGTTGTCCAACCCCCGGCTGACCCAATACCAAGGAATACTGCATGAAAACCCCCGAGTAAAGATTAATACGGTGCGGCGGATGAACCCGGCCACTTTCCTCCCTACTGAACTCAGAGAGCCGGACCATGACTGCCTAGAAGTGATGGAGGAAGTGTACACCAGCAGGCCAGACCTGCAGGACCAGCCCCTAAGCCAGCCGGACCTGACCCTGTATGCGGACGGCAGTAGCTACATGACCGATGGGAAACAGCTGGCCGGGTACGCGGTAGTAAGTGATAAAGAAACACTAGAGGCAAAACCCCTACCAACCGGGTGGTCCACGCAGAGGGCAGAACTGTGGGCATTGGTCAGGGCCCTAGAGTTGTCAGAAGGGAAGAAGGTCAACATATACACAGATTCCAGGTATGCCTTCGCCACTGTACACATCCACGGCGCCATCTACCGGGAGAGAGGACTACTTACCGCCGAGGGGAAGGACATTAAAAACAGGGTTGAGCCTGGCCAGGCATGGCTCAGTGGTTGAGCGTCTACCTACGGTCCAGGTGACCGGGGTTTGATTCCTGGTCAGGGCACATGCCCAGGTCGTGGGCTCAATCAATGACTCTCTCATCATTGATGTTTCTATCTCTCTCCCTCTTCTTTCCTCTCTCTGAAATCAATAAAGATATATTTAAAAACAAAAAACAAACAGGGCTGAAATACTTAGGCTACTAGAGGCAGTGTGGGCTCCGGCCAAGGTGGCAGTAATCCATTGCCGAGGGCATCAGAGAGAAGAAACGGAAATAGCAAAAAGAAATTGGCGGGCAGATTGAGTGGCCAAGGAAGCAGCCCAGGGTACAAGTGCCCCAGCCAGCGCTCCAGCTCTAGAAGGAGCTGTGTTAGATCTCAGCCCTACGCAATCAGACTATACTTCTGAGGAATAAAAGTGGGTGATCCAGATGGGGTGTACTCAGACTACGACTGGCATCTGGGAACTGCCAGATGGGCAGCTGTATGTGCCTCAGACTCAGGCGAGCCATCTAGTGAGGCAATGCCACACCCTGACTCATCTAGGGAAAACTTCCCTAGAGGCCTTGCTAAAGAAGTATTACTTCCGCAACCTGGCCAGCATATGCGCTACAACTGTAGCCCGGTGTACAACCTGCGCTCGGAACAACGCTGCTCCACACCCACAAAGGACCTTCGGCATTCAACACAGGGGACAGCAGCCCTTTGAGGACCTATAGGTTGACTTCATGGAAATAAAGCCAAGCCGGGGTTACAAGTACTTGTTAGTCCTTGCCTGCACATTTTCGGGGTGGGTAGAGGCTTTCCCCACCCGGACTGAGAAAAGCCGAGAGGTAGTAAAAGCCCTTTTAAGGGAAATAATTCCCCACTTTATCAGTCGGCAGTGATAATGGACCAGCCTTTGTCGCCAAAGTCATCCAGGAGCTAGCAAGGCAACTAAGAATAACCTGGGGGCTACACACAGTGTACAGACCCCAAAGCTCAGGGAAGGTAGAGTGGATGAATCGAACTCTGAAGGAGACACTAGCAAAATTCTATCAAGAAACTAACCTGCCATGGCCTGATTTACTTCCCTTAGCTTTGTTCAGGGTTTGAAATGCTCCTAACTCCACGGGCTATACACCCTTCGAGCTCGTGTATGGGCAACCACCAGCAATACTGCCCATCCCGAGGGGAGAGTTACGAGTAATTGGGGAAGCCAATCAGACTAGGTATCCCAGAAACTAGGGAAGACACTAGAACAGGTACACAAGGCTGGACTAGGCCCAGACCCAGTCCCTAGAGGGGGGCCAGCGCACCCTTTCAGGCTGGGAGATTACGTGTGGGTTAAGGATTGGAGGAAGGAGCCACTCCAGCCTGCTTGGACTGGACCCCACTTAGTCATATTAACAACCCCTACTGCCCTTAAGATTTCAGGAGCAGCACCCTGGGTCCATCACACCCGAGTCAAGAGGGCAGCCGACCCCAAGGTCGACGGAGAACCTGAGGACCGGCCCCAGCCGCGGCTGCCCTTCTTGAAGCTAAGGAAAGGACTGACCCATGAATGGACTGTTGTCCAGAATGGTACCTCGCAGCTGCCAAGCTCTTCACCACAATCTTCGGAGCAGGACTGGCGGCGACGGCACCTCAGGACTGGAACCTATGGGGGCGGATAGCCCTCGGGGGACTATACCTCGGTTTTGCTTGTTTGTGTGGATATCTAGTTTGCTTCCTATAATTGCCCCTGCCGTTGTCACAGTTCCCCAGTGCCAGTGCAGCACCCCGAGAGAGAGAATAAGACTCTCAGGGGGTTTAGTATCGTATGTAGTTGAAGGGAGCCCCTTTTCCTTACAGTACTGACATGCCACCAGACTGTGTAAAAACTAACAAGGAGCAGTGTACCTGGAATAATAAGGTCTACTGGACAGGGGTTATGCAGGGAACTAGGGGCTACCAAGCTCAGAGGTGCCAAGGATATGGACCACCTGGGTGGCGAGTATGTTGGAATCTCATAGGGCCATTAAGTAACATGAATCATGAAGAATTTGAGGAAGCAAAAAGGAATGCAATTAAGGAGGTAACCCGGAGACTAAAACAACAGGAAATAACCTACAAGGGGGTTAACCTCACAAATTTCCAAAGAGCCCTACAGGAGCTGAGTCCAACCCTACAGGTCCAGGGAATAGTACAGACCATCTACTCAGCATACCAGAACATAAGCAACCACACAAAGGAATGCTGGGTACACCTCCCTTTCAGAGAAAAGGAACTCCTAGGAATTCTGGTCCCCGGGACCTGGAATCACTCCAGGCCCCCTATAAACCCTAATCAGACTCTCTCGCTAGGACCGGTTGCCACAGACGTTTTCCTAGATCCCAGAGGATCTAATGTTACCTGTATAATACCCCAGGAGGCTTCGCCAGGAACGGTCTCAATAGGGACCCTGAACCCGGAGCTCTGTGCCAAAACCTCAGCATACCCAACAATAGCAGCCTCTGTGCAGACCCTGGTCTGTTCCTCCTGTGTGGCAGAGAGGCCTACTGGTGCCTGCCTGCTAACTGGACTGGAAAGTGTGTAGAGATATTCTTAGTACCTAGCATCAGCCTAAGGACTAGCCAGGATGTATTAGCAGCACTCCGCCCGAAGGGAGCCACAGGGTGAACGAAGAGAGCAGCCGGGATCACCATATTATCCGGGGTAGGAGTAGCCGCAGGAGTCGGCACAGGCATAGGAGGACTAGGGCTTTCAGCCTCAACATATTACAAGCTATCTGAGAGGCTGAATCTAGACATGGAGAAGGTAGCTGACTCCCTAGCCACCATCCAGCAACAGATAAACTCACTGGCGGGAATAACCCTGCAGAATCACCGAGCTCTAGACATACTGACGGCTGAGAAGGGGGGAACACGCCTTTTCCTAGGTGAAGAATGTTATTTTGTCAACCAATCCGGGTTGATAACGCAGAAAGTAAAGGAACTAAAAGAAAGCATACAAAGCATCAGAGAGGAGGCTAGGAACTGGAATTGGGGCCTAGACACTCAGGTCTGGATCTGGTGGCTCGTTCCTTTAATCGGGCCCTGTTCTTATCATCCTAATAGGAATATCTATCGGGACGTATGTAATTAGAACGGTCATCCGGACCCTGGAAACCACTGTTACCAGGAGGGCCACCGCCAAGATTCTAGCCCTTCAGCAGGTCCATTATCATAGGCTCCGGGAAACTGAAGACCCGGAGTATAGGGACATGTATCATGATGCAATAATTGCTACAGCAACAAATAGCATCAGAGGGGGGGAAATGAGGTAGGAACCACAGCCATTTTAGGAAGATTTCCCCATTTCGAGTATCAGCTTACTTGCCAGAATGTGTATCTAGCTTCTGTAACCCCGCCCACTGCTTTCACGCCAAAAGCAGGCCCGGCCTACAACCCTATAAAACTGACCCAAGACCATTGTTCGGGGCCCAGAATTTGGAGACTGCCTCCTCTGGGTCTGCATGCATTAAATAAAGGTATCCTTTCGTCTCCTCCAGTGTATGGCCTGAGTCTTTTCCGCACACCATGATATGGTTATACTATAATTTATTTAACTAGTCCCTGTTAATAGATATTAAAAGTTTTCCAAACTTTTACTACTATTAACAGTGTTACAATAAATAATTTTTATAAACCATACTTGGCATATTAACCCAATATTCCTTCAGGATAAGCTCCAAATAGTGGAAATACTAAGTTAAAAAAAAAAAAGCACATTAAACTTTTTGTATACATATTACAAAATTGGCCCCTGGAAATACATTATACTCTTACTAACAGTTTATGAGAATTTCTACACCTTGCCTAACAATGGATATTATCAGTCATTCTCATTTTTGCAAATATGATAAAGCATTGTGGTTTAATTTGTATTTCTTTAATTACCACAAATTGCACAGTTTTTCCATCTCTTCTATCGGAAGATTATAATTCTGGTCTGACACACGGTTGTAGTGTGAGCCCTGACAGTTGGCTTTTCTTTTTGTAATGCAAGTGCCTGACTTAAGCTTTGCTTGGCAAGGCATCCACTTCAAAGGTGGCTCTCAATAAACACACTGCCAGCCACTGGACTAGATGCAGAACCAGGCCACGCCCCCATCCCTCCCAGCACCCAGGCTCCTATGTTTCTGAGATCTTGGTTGATTTTGATAACTGACCATTTGGCCTGCTTGCTTTTTCTCTTCTTGCACTTTGTTATTATTTTTTATATGTATATTATTCTTTGTTTACACAACAGAATATAACAGACATTATTCCAGGTCAGAAGTTATAGATTAAAAATTAGTGATTTAATTTTAGTAACATAACATCCTACAGTATGGGTTTACCACTGACAATGGGATCATGCTCCTGTAGGTAGACACTTAGGGTGTTTCCCCTTTTTCCCCCTACTAACAATGCTGCATTGCTTTTGTCTATACATCCTTTGCTGCTTTTATGTGTTCTGGGGGCAGTCTCAATAGTAGAATTGTTGGGTTAAAAGGACTGTAATTTTTCATTTTAATAAATGCTGTCTCATTTTAGAAAACACTGTAGCAATCCAGTCTTATCCAAACACATAAGTATGCATATATGTGTCTCTCCTCTCTCTCCCTAGCTAGGACTTCAACTTTTTGTCTAGTCTTCTTGTACTTTAAATTTACCAATAGTGAGCCCACAAAACCCTAGGCCCTCACCTGCATCCCCAATAAAAGCAGAATCCCAGGCTTATGCTTCATGCGTTCTCTCCCTCCCTCCCCCCTTCTCTCCCCACTGCAACTTCCATGTGTGGCCCCAGGTGTGCTGTGTAACTTTCAGGATTTGTAAGTAATAACCCCCCCTAAAGTTTTCTGATGGTTATTATTGAGGACATCTTGCTATTGTAAGAACCCCAAGGGTAGGCAAGCCACAACACTGGTTATTGAGACTGGCAAAAAACAGGTGTCAATTATTTACCAGAATACAAGACGCCTTTAAGTATCTGAGCAGCAAATTTGGCTTTAAAACAGTGTGAAAAATTGATGGTGTTATTTGGCTCAGTAGATATTATATAGATTACAGTGTGTGAGCTCACGATCAATGTTCAGTCCATATATTCGTGCAGTGGATAATTACCGTAATAAATGCAGACTTGACATTTCGGTGGAAGGAACACAGTGCATTAAGACTGTGTCCCAAAGGGCTTGCTAGATCAGGAGCTTAGAAACCATTGAGTATAGTGGGCCAACTTCTTCGCTTCTAGAGTTGTACCCTTCAGTCTTCATAGTGACTTGAGACCAAACTAGAGCATGCAAGATTTTGTCTTTCATTTTCCTGAAAAGGAGCCCACACACTATTGTTCATAAGTTTCACTAACTCCCCAGGTAGCAGACCGGGAGGAGCCTGCCCCATGTGGGTCTTAGATTTATTAAAAGACTTGGTAACATGTGTTAATAATAACAGGAAAGTGAATTTTGACACTAATGTCTAATCATACACCAGGAGAGAGAACTGATTTAAAAGAATATCTGTAAAGACCTTAGAACAGGGTCAGGCACAGAGGAAGCACTTAATAAACGTGAGCGATTTTTTAAAAGTTGACAACATAGCACCTGAGCCCCTTTTGAATGACTGGAAATCAATTTCTTTTTCTTTCCTTTCCTTTCTTTCCTTTTCTCCCAACTCTCCAACTCATCCGCTTTCCCACGAGCCCCCCATTCTTTCTACTCCTCCTCACCAATGTTCTCACTCCTCCTCTTTCCCCTGCTCTCCTTCCTCCTTCCCGTACTACCTTTATTAAAGCTTTTCTCATCTGCTCATCTCCCATGAAAGTGAACTTATAGTTAAAACTCTCAACAACAACTCAGAAAGTCAAACCACTGCAAAAAATGAAAACTATTTACATAAAGTGACTCTGCATAATACTGAATTGGGTTAAAATGTAATTTTTCCAATTCAATGCATTTCCCATGGGACGTGCTGAATGCATTCTTTTCTCATATTTGCTTTAACAGTAAGTTACGTTGATTTTCCACCTTACATTTCAGGTTTCTACTGGATACTTTCAAAGACCTTTTATTTTAATTTTGAGAAAACGTGCACATTATAGACTACTGGAGAGAAAGGGAAAGTGTCCAGAAAAAGTTGGTCACTTGCAGAGATAACTATGCCCTTCTAATTACAAAAACAAAAATCACCCAATTTTGTATTTCTTTTTCACTTCATTCCCTCTCTCTTTGCTTGCCTGTGGAGTGAGAAGGCAGGGTCAAGAGAAGGAAACTTGGAGCTATAGATGGGTTGAAGGCAGACGAAAGGGTTTTCACCCATACCATGCAATAAAACATAAATGCCATTTGGACTAAAGGGTTAAATATGAATTAAACCATAGAACCAGAGTAAAACAAAAACGCCTGCTTATGAAACACCTTGGGGAGAAGAACCTTCTAAGCTTAGAGGCAGTAAATTGAAGCACAAAAATTAGAATAGACTTGACCACACACATTCATTTTATGTTCATAGCTTAAAAGGCAAATAGACTGTCAAAAATATTAACAGGAAATATAATAAAGAATAGGAGAGAAACAAGATGGCGGCGTAGGGAACAGCTGCACCCGCCGCCTCTCCCAACCACATCAAAATTACAACTAAAATACAGAACAACCATCACTCAGAGCCTCCTGATA